TTATGTGTTAGTGTGCTGATTGCCCTCTGACTATGTCCCCGCAATAGACGAATGTCAGTTCTAGTTACACTGTGATTTCACTTGTTTCAAGTTCAGTGGGATTCGTGCTGTTCCGTGTCTAAATGACCTGATCCCTGGGAGATACCTGTATGTGGTAGCTTTCTCACATCATATACGTGTGATGTTGTGTAGGGGTCAAGTGCATGCTGTCATGTTCCCCTTCAAGGCTCGTAGTTGAGGCTCTAGGGTTGGGGGGAGGGAAAGAGAGAATAAGGGTAGAGAAACCTGGTGAGGATAATAATTGTGTCCCTGGTGAAGTTCGTCTCTGTCGGGGTCGTCTGAGGGTAGGGAATCTTGTTCTGGGTCATGTGCAGTCGTGTGATGCGTTGGTGCAGCGTATGAGTGGCGAGCAGGCTCTGCTGCTCTCAGTGGCAGAGGTTGTGTGTGTCCTGACTTATGTTAGCCTCTCTTCACATTAAGCTAAGGGGGTTGTGGAAGTGGCTTCTGTGTTGATAAGTAGGTACGCCACATCTCGGCAATAGATGGGCTCAGCTTCCCAATTTTCAGTTGGTTCCACATTTGGAGTTTTTAGTCCACTGTCGTCGACAACAAAGTTGTAATTTCCTGGATTGAGGGAAGAGTAGAGGTCTTCCAGTTTCTAGCTATTAGAGTGGAGACTGTGCTCAATATGAGATATATCATTTTTTTTGCTGGTTTGGAGGTGGTATCAGGGAGTGATCGTAGTAGGATCGTTTTTGGTTCGTGAGGCAGGGTACATTCTGTAGTTTCTTGGATCATTCGTTCCGTTGTTTTCCAAAGTTTGTTTACAGTGTGGCAAGTCCACCACACATGTAACATTGTGCCTCTGTGCGAGTTGCAGCGCTAACATATGTCCGTCGTTTCAGGGTATATGGTGTGCAAACGTGAGGGCACCATGTACCACCTATAAAGCAGTTTGCGTGATGTTTCAAAGTGGGCCACGCAGGAGGACAGACCATCGTGCGCCGTGAAGATTTTCTTCCATTCTCGTGGGGAAATTGTGTCTTGGAGGTCTTCCTGCCAGTCGTTCATGAATTTCCATGTGTTGTCTGTTTTGAGGTTTGCTAGGCTGTCATAGCAGGTGGATAGCACTTTTTTCGGGGGTGTTGCTGACATGCATTGCATTTCGAACTTTGTCGCTGTGGTTCATAATGTCTGTCTTCTGTTGTGGATCGAGTTGTCTTTCAGTAAGGCTTTTAATTGTAGGTATGCGAACGTGAAGTTCGACGGGAGTGTAAACTCGTTTTGGAGGTCTGGGAAGTGTTTCAGGCCTTCAGACGTGTAGAGGTGATACATATGTGTGATGCCTCTTTCTTCCCATTTTTGGTGCGGGAATGTGCCATTACAGTGATGCAGAGTTTTGATTGGGGCAGCTAGTGCCCATGGGTAAGCTGAGCATAACTTTTCCCTGCAATTATCCCATGTGGATAGTAAGAGTTTGGTGGTGGGCAACATGTCCGTGGATCTTGGTCTTGCGTTTTTGGGAGTCCATAGAGTGGAAGATAGGTCATTGTTGGTGCAGAGCTGGTTTTCTAACGCTACCCATTGTGGAGGTTGTTTCGTTGTGTGTGCGTTGATGACACTTGTGAGTAGGGCTGCGTAGTAGTATGATTTTAGGTTAGGAAACCCCATTCCACCTTGTTTTATGTGTCTGAAGAGCAGGGCTTTAGGTACCCTGGGGTGCTTTCCACTCCAGCAGAAACGAAGGAGGATTGCTTGCAGGCTCATCAAGTAGCTCTGTGGGATCTTGATTTGCAGGGACCGGAAAAGATTTAGGAAGTATTGTCATTTTGATAGCCGCTATCTTTCCGACCCATGATAAGAATAAATTTTTCCAGCTGTGTAGCTGTTTTTCAATCTCCCGTAGCAGTTTTGTATAGTTCGCTGTGAAGAGATCAGTGGGTTTGTTGGTTATCCTGATGCCTAGGAACGTTAGATGATTAACTCTCCAGTCGTATTCGTGGGCAGATTTTAGGACGTTTTCAGTGGCTCTGGGTACATTGAGGCACATCGCTTGTGTCTTGGTGATGTTGAGTTTGTAGTAGGATTGTTGGCTGTATGTGTGTAATTCTTTGTGTAATGAAGGGAGAGAAATGAGTGGTTGGGTGAGCGTGAGTAGTATGTCGTCCGCGAATATATTGAGTTTGTACTCCTGTTGGCCAAGTGGCACTCCATGTATGTTGTTCTTGCGGATGGCTATTGCCAGGGGCTCTAGGGCTAGGACGTACAGGAGGGGATACAGAGGGCATCCTTGGCGGGTGCCGTTGGTTATCGGGAAGGGTTGAGAGCACAACCCTGAAGTCAGTACTGTCGCTGTGGGGTTGCTGTATAGGGCATGTATGACAGACAGGAAGGGCGATGGAAAGCCGTAGAGGGTCAGGGCTCCGTGAAGGAAGTGCCAGTTTAGGCGATAAAACGCCTTTTCGGCATCTAGCGAGAGCATAATGCTCTCTATTTTAGACCATTTTAGGAGGTGGTGTATGTCAAGGACCTTTCTGGTGTTTTCTGGGCCCTGTCTGCCTGCTACGAAACCTACTTGGTCTGTATGAATAAGGGAAGGTAGTATTGTTTTAAGGCGGTCAGCATGAATTTTTGCGTAAAGTTTAGCATCTGCATTAAGCAGCGAGATTGGCCTGAAATTTTGGCATATAGTTGGAGGCTTTCCTGGTTTGGGTATTGTGATTACGTGAGCCGACAAAAACTCAGTGGGGAAAGAGCTCTGTTTAGTTGCTTCATTAAAGAATTGGGTGAGAGGAGGGGCTAGTTAATGTTTGAATGTTTTGTAATATGTGTTGGTGTACCCATCCGGGCCTGGTGCTTTACCTCTGGGCATTGCATCTATATGGTGAAGCACTTCTTCTGTGGTGATTGGGGCAATGAGCTGTGCTGATTGGTGTGCGTTAATAGTGGGGAGTGCGAGTTTGTTGAGGTAAGTCCTTATGGACGTCGGTGTAGGTCGGGGTGAATTTTGGTCGTCTTTCAGGTTGTATAGAGAGCCATAATAGCGGGCAAATTCATTACATATCTGCGTGGGCTGCATTACTTTTTGTCCGGTATGTGTGTTTAGGAATTGTGTTCTTGTTTGTGCTTGTTTGTCCCTAAGTCTTAGCGCCAATAGTTTCGTAGCCTTGTTGCCCATCGAGTAGGATGTGGCTTTTAGTTTTTTTAACGCTGCCGTTGCCTTGCGGAGATGTATGTCATTGATTTCGTTTTGTGTGCTTTGTATTTGTTGTTGGAGTGTCTTTGTGGGGTTTGCTTGATTCGACCTATGTAGGTCCTGAACCCTTTTGAGGAGTGTGAGCAATGTGGAATAGTTAATTTTTTTAAGATATGCCGCTCTGCCTATCAGGATTCCTCGGATGACTGCCTTGTGGGCTAGCCACAGAGTGGCGGGAGTCGGGCCAGTAGGACTATTGGTTGTGAAGTATAGAATCATTTCGTTCTTCACTTTTTCCAGGAAAGAGGGTTCGTTAAGGAGGTGTTCGTTCAACCTCCAGGGGCTTCGATTTTTGAATTGGTATGAATCTGCGAGGACCAATGACACCGGGTTATGGTCTGAGATCGTGGATGTTTCTATGTCGCATGTTCTTATCTGCTGTAGGTGCGCGTTGCGCAGGAGAAACCCGTCTATACGGGAGTAGGTATTGTGAACTTGGGAGTAACGGGTATATTCCTTATCGTTAGGGTGTAGGGTTCTCCAGACATCATAGAGTCCGTGTGCTGACAAAAGCTTGTTTATGGAATTGCAACATTTGTGTAGTGTTTTTTTGCGTTTCGCTGAGTGTCGGGCTGTAGAGTCCGCATTAGGGTCTAGAATGTGGTTAAAATCACCGCAGATGACCGTGGTGCCCGTTTGGAGCTTCTCTACCTTGTCTAATAGGTAGGCAGAGTAGGTCTCCTGGTTGTCATTCGGGGAGTAAGAGTTCACTATCGTGTATGTGGAGTTGTTCAAGGTGCATATTAAAATGATATATCTACCCTTCGGGTCAGAGTCGATTGAGATTAGGTCAAAGGCTAGAGTGTGGCTTAGCAGTATCGACACTCCTTTGCTTTTGTTCGGATTGGTAGCATGATACTGGTGTGGGAAGGTTTTGAGTCCTAGAATGGGGTTAGAGTCCTGTTTAAAGTGAGTCTCCTGCAAGCAGACAACGTTTGCGTGCATGTCATTGAGTTCTTTGAGGAGGGTATGTCGCTTGTTGGGCGAGTTCAGTCCCCATACGTTGTGTGTAATTATCTTCATTTTCCGTGGGTGGTGTATGCTGTGTATGTGACTAATATTTGTTAGTTGTATGGTGTGGATGCGTGTCGTAGTAGTAGGAGGGGAGGTGGTCTCAGTCCTGTTGGGTCGGGGGGTCTGTCAGTGCGTCCGGTGTGGATGTCTGCATGGGTCAGTAATGGATATCCGTGGTGTGGCGGGTGGCGGCTGCAACCAGGTGTACAATATAACTTTCAGAACACAATAAAACAAAATAAGATAATAAAACAATCAAGCAATAATCAAAGAAAGTATCTTACAGTGGTGACTTTAGAGGTATGTGCCTTAACTATGGCACTTCCTAGGTGGGGGTGTTGTGGTCGGTTCGGGGCGAGCGGAGGTCGCTGCGGGCCCAACATGAGTCGGGTGCGCCCCGCCCATATATGTAGTTAACATGCATTGGTTGGATCGATCAACACCGTTATGGGCAGTAAAGAGCCTGTTTTGTAGCGGTAGAGGCTGTGACCGTAGGGGTTGGTAGCCGATAGGATGTGCTCTATGTAAGTAGGGAAGGGTTTTTAGGCAAGGCCCTGAGGGTTTTCGCACTTAATGCCGCTCCCGTCTCCAGAGGGAGGGTCTCAGGGGCATATCATAAGGGTACTAGTAAGCAATTAACAGTGCATTATCATCATATTATAACCTAATGTATAACAGATGAGTAACAGAGTAAACATGTTTAGAACTTGCTGTATCTCGCTGAACATGCTCATTCGTCTCTTGGAGATGTGCCTCTCGTCTTCTGAGTGCGCCATTCTTCGGGTAGCGGTTTACCGGAGTTCCTGGGGTTCGGCTGCGTATTCCGGGACATACCCCATTGTTGCAGGAGGTCCAGTCCCTCTGCTGGTGTAGTTGCCGAGATGAGTTTCCCTCCTTTCGATATAAGCAGTTTGGCCAGGTAGCCCCAGCGGTATGGCACATGATGGTGTCTCAGCGTGTCTGCTATGGCCCTAAAGGATCGCCTGCGGCGTAGTGTCTCCGCTGATAAGTCCATGAACATGAGGATGTCCTTGAATTGAGTGGGTAAGTCCTTTTTGGTATGGTGTGTCCGTAGTATTTGGTCTTTGATGTGATAGAGTCTCATGAGGACGTCTCTCGGAGTGGTAGGTGGCAGGTGTTGTGGCTTGGGAAGCCTATGGATGCGATCCAGTAGGAACATTTCTGCGGGGATATCAGGAAGTAAAGTTTGGAAGAACTCTACGGCGTAGGCCGTTAAGTTTTGCGGCGCGATATCTTCAGGTACACCCCTTAACCGTACATTACTGCGGCGTGACCTGTCTTCTGCATCAGCTAGTTTGGTCTCCTGTCTATAAAGCTGATCCTCAATTTTGGTGAGGCGTATGTCAGTTTCGTTGTGGGCCCCTGTGAGGCTTTCCACATTACCCTCAAGGTGGGAGGTCCGTACTTCCAGCTCTTTGAGGCCTTTCCTCATGTCATTGAGGGCCTCTGTGACAGTAGTTTGCATTTTGGTAACTGCTGCATCAAGCATGGATTGTAGGAGACTCTGGGTCAGGGGGCAATCTTCTTGTCTACTCACTGTATAGTCGCGCTCAGTATCATATTCCGAGTCAGCGCCATCTTGGGCCTGTGGGTCGGCGGCTTTATGCTGTGGCTTTCTAGCCGCAAAGAAGGCTGATTTGTCTTTTGCCTCCGTGTGTTTCTTTGTCCGGTGTTGGGACATCGCTCCAGCGTTATGGGTCGGGGTATTCACTCGGAAAAGCTTGTTTTAGCCACGTTGTGGAGCCCGTAGTAGCGGAGCTCACTTAATGTGTGTCCATCTCACTCGATGTCCGGCCACGCCCCCTCTACATGACATTTTAACTGTCAATGTCATAATACTGTTTGCTTTTACTGCAATAAAATACACTTATTAGTATTCAGCAAAGTCTCACGTGTAAAACAGTACCCCCTATGTACAGGTTTTATGGTGTTTTGGGAAGTTACAGGGTCAAATATAGCACGTTACATTTGAAATTGAAATTCGCCAGATTGGTTACATTGCCTTTGGGACTTTATAGTAGCCCAGGAATGAAATTTACACCCATAATGGCATACCATTTGCAATAGTAGACAACCCAAGGTATTGCAAATGGGGTATTGTCTAGTCTTTTTTAGTAGCCATTTGGTCACAAACACTGGCCAAAGTTAGCATTAGTATTTGTTTGTGTGTGAAAAATGCAAAAAACGCCAGTGTTTGTGACTAAATGGCTACTAAAAAAGACTGGACATACCCCGTTGGCAATACCTTGGGTTGTCTACTATTGCAAATGTTATGCCATCATAGGGGTAATTTTCATTCTTAGGCTACTATAGGGTCTCAAAGGCAACGTAGCCAATCTGACAAATTTTAATGTGAAAAAAATGAAACACAAGCCTTATATTTGACGCTGTAACTTTTGAAAACACCATAAAACCTGTACATGAGGGGTACTGTTGTACTCGGGAGACTTCGCTGAACACAAATATTTGTGTTTCAGACCATTGAAGTGTATTGTTTAGCTAGATTCTGGTGTAAATATTGTCTAGCTAAGCTCTGGTTTATAATGTATATGTCTTGCTATATTTTGATGTATATGCTGATTTTTGAAGTGTAGATAGTGTTTAATGACACCTGACATCATAACCACTGACACTATAACCACGACACTATAACCACTGACTATTGATAAGGGGTTGTAGTAATATTGGGCGATCGGGTGGTTTACACGTTGATTAACTGTATAGATAATTGTATAAAACTAATTGTCTAAGGCAAAGGAAAGGTTTTTTTACTGTAAGAAGAATACGGAAGTGGTTTTATCAGAGTCCATACAGATGTCCAAACAGCTACTAGATGCATACTTGCAAAAACAGAATATTTAAGGATATAATCTTTCAATGTAGGGTAAGAACTGCTTGATCCAATGATAAATCTGACTGCCATTCTGGGGTCAAGAAGGAATTTTTTTTCCTAGCTTGTTGCAAAATTGGAAGTGCTTCAAACCGGGTGTTTTTGCCTTCTTTTGGATCAACAGCAAAAAACAAATGTGAGGAATGCTGAACTTGATGCACGCAAGTCTCTTTTCAGCTATGTAACTTTGTAACATGTATAGCTTTTGGTGGGTTTTGACTTTGTTCTGTATGTGTAAGACGTCATTAATATTGTGAAACGTGTGAGGATCCTGTGTGTGTGTGTGCACGTGTGTTTTGGCCTGGTAATCGCGCCACGTGGTGTTACTGAGAAGGAGCTTTGGGTGTCGATTGTAACTGTGTTTGTATATTTGTACTGCCTTGAATCAGACTATCCGTTGCAGTAATGGGTGTGTCCAATTCACAAATTGTTGATTCTTTGTCTTGTATGTTAAAAATGTTTTTTTTAAATATGCTGTTTATGATTTGTGATTGAACTTGTTAGACCACAATATTCTACAAATTTCCGTAGTCTGGTTTTAACACGTATGACTACTGGTACCCTTCAACCCAGCATTTACAGATGCCCCTCCGACTTACTCCTGGCCCAACACACATTGATGGCAATGGCCAGTTGCAATTGGGAGACCCTAAAATAGTAAAACAATAGTAAATACAAAAGGTATAAAAGAAGTATACAAATGCTACAATCACCTAGTGTAGGTCACCCAAACCACACAAAAATAGTGAATTAAAAATGTAAAAACTGGTGAAAGCACACTAATGGTGTACATATAACATACACAAACAATATTACCATCAATGAGTAGATACCTAAAAAGACAAAAAAAAAATGGTAGATCATAGTGAACTCTGTATATACAATAAAAGAATGTGTAAATACAAATTGGTCTCACTCACATATTGCTGGGCCTGCTAAAGTGTGCTCAGATTAAAAGCGCCTTGGAACAAATATAGTTGTTGAGATCAGAAATTGGCACCAATAACAGGTTGCTCCACGAGTACTGGATATAAATTCTCCCTTTGGGTTCCCACAAAGTCAAAACCATGATGATAGGAAGTAACCAGGAACAAATGTATTAAAAAATAGATATAAAATATAAAAAGATCTCAAATATACAACCGCACTGACGCGTTTCGACAAACAGTCTTTATCAAAGTCCTCTGTAATTGCTTCAGACTCCCGTCTGTTTAAATCTCCAAAAAGGCGCGTTCTTCTCCATGTGTGTCCTCTATTTCTTCTGGGTATGTCATTTCCAGTTACGTCACTTCCGGGTCAGCGGACTAAGTAGGTGACTTATTTCCGCAATGTCCGGTCACATGATCGGATTAGTTCATGGCAAAGTTCATAAATAATGCCTCTTATCATTGTGCATGTCCTTCAGTTAATAACTTATTTTCAGGCAAAAAACTATGTATAATAGCGATCTGTGTGTTCAAACTTTTATTAAAAAACATTAGAAAAAGACGACAAATAATACAAATACAAAATAAAGAGAAATAATTTGTAATCAGGTCGATGAGTTCTGAGAATTCATAAGATTCAGCTAAAATGCTCATATAGTTTCTCCTGTTTTCTAAGTACCTAAGTGGTAAGTATGGTAAGTGATGCATCTGGAGTACTCAGTATCAGAAACATCAAAGGGGGGAATGTGATGGGATTTCAACGAGGCCCAAAATTTAGTAGGCCTAAAATCTCCATGTGTCATATACAAGTACAGGTATCTGTTAGTTAGTTAGTTATGTGTAGCTAAGATACTGTCATCAATGTACTGAGCATGTGCTTGATTTGAAAAACCACATTCCATTCCCCTAGTGCCATACTGCCTATCCATATAAGGTAATGCTGTAAATACTGTTTGTTGATTGGTGTAAGGGTAGAGATGGGGGATGAACAGCTTATAAAAAGGCTGTACTCCATGTGCTCAGACATTTTGGACATGAGTTCAGCTAAGAGCTGATCGGTGAGAATAAAGACCTTTGCTTCCTGAACTGACCTGTGTCCAGACTCTCTTTGCGTGGCTTCTTCAGAGTTCCCCTATAACAATTCCAGTACAAAATTTAACTCAACTCAATAATAAGCAGCCCAAAACTCAATAATCATCAACTGCCCTTATACTACAACTTTAACTCTCTTTAAGCTAATTGTAATATTGGGGGGGGAAGGACCAAATGCCCTCCCATCAGCTTTCACCAAATGGCAGCAGGTGGGGGCTCTAATTATAATATTCAGAGGGAAGACCTAGTGTCCACCAAGTGGCAATGGGCGGGGGATC